AATTTTACATAGCATTTTACAGTCCAAATAGAAGGATCTAGAGCTCGATGGCCCCTTAGTGGGCATCAAATTGTTTACACTTGAATTCGGATCGCTCTCTGAATAAGATCAACTCAAATCTCTTGTGAAACCAGTGTTTTTTTTTTTTTTAAAAAAAAAATCTGTAAAGAGAGAGGGGTCACTCAAATTATAGATTTAGGGGCATCGTAGATTTTCATAGATCCGGTTCTCATTTAAATCTACTGGCAGCGCTAACTTCATAATCCATTTGTTGTACCTTAAAAAGCTTAAATTCTAACTAAATCTAAGAAATAAGTAAATAAAAAAACCAAAAACATAAAGAAATAAGTAAATAAATAAGAGAGAGAGAGAGAGAGAGAGAGAGAGAGAGAGATTACAAACCCGAAAGATCCCGACTTGCGGCGTATACCAGGATCGTGGTTTGATTTTCACCTTTGGATGCCTTCTTTTGCTTGCTTGAAGCATGGATTTAAGGTTTTTGGTTCAGATCTAGGAGATCTTGTTCATAAGATTTTGATGTTTAGAGGAATTTTGAGAGGATATGGACTTACAAGCTTTAGTCTAAGTTTTTTAGGAATTTTTCCTGTTTTTCTAAAAGTTTCCCTAATTTTATAGGGGTTTTAAGATTTTTCCAAATTTCTTAGGGTTTTTTTGGATGAGTTTCCTATTTTGTTTAGACTTTTTAGGATTTTTTCTATTTTTCTCAGTTTTTTCCTAATTTTTAAAGGTTTTTCTAATTTTTTAGGATTTTTTAGGTTATTTTTTTATATTTCTAGGGATTTTTCTAACTACTTTTTTATTATGTTTTTAATGCTTTTTCCAGGGAATATGAGGAGGTATTTATAGGTTTAAGCTAGGGTTAGGCTTGAAATTAATTGAATCTTATAGTTCTAGTTCGATTCGGAATAGGATACTTTTTTTTTGGAATATTTTGAATTAAAATCAACTTTGAAATCCTAGTTTAAAGAGGACTTGGTGATCCTATCGGGTTGTGTGAAATATAGCATGTCGCATGGCCCGACTCACCGCGTGGCACGTGACCCGTGTGCGACACTGTTTGAGTCGCTCCCAGGGGCATTTTAGTAATTTTTCATGACAACTCCTTAAGTCTCTAACTTCTCAGTGGCACGTCCAATTTTAGTGATTCTTAGACCATTGGAAAGCTTTCAAGGTCTACTACAGCTTAATATAGGCTTTGGACATTTTTGATACAACACGTATGACTCACTAGGGATTGTGGTCCTTAGGACTTGGAATCAAAGTTTATAGGAATTCCCTTAGCTATAATTTCTATAGGATGTCTACATCAATGCACGACATTGTTAATTCTAGTATGAGAACTTTCAATAATTTTATAATGAACCATGGTTTAGTAAACATCCCCATCAGTGGCACTCACTATACTTGGAGAAATAACAGCATTGCAAATCTCATTACCCTAAACCCTAAACCATAAAGAGCAAATTCGACAGGCTCCTTATTTCTCAAGAGTGAGACAACTCTTTTTATTTTGGTTAGCGTTTCTGTTTTATCCAAATTATCCTTAGACCATACTCCCATTCCACTAAACAATGACAACACTATGTTGGGCCCAAGGCCTTTTTGTATGGAGTTAACATGGCTTGAGGACAAAAGAGGTCATTGAAGTTAAGAAGCGGATATGGGAGAATAGGATGGTTCATGCCTGGGCTGGTTATACAGTGCACAAGAAACGTTTGAATGTTAAGCATAAGCTATTCGGTTGGAAGAAGAACAATGGGTTTTATGTTAAAGAAAACCTGGATAACACTATGTGGAGACGCTGGAGATATGTAGCATGCAACAAACTGATCAAGCGATAGAATAATCTGACGTTGTTATTCTGCAACAACAACATGAGAGAAGGGAGTTGCAAGCCACTTTACATGAACTGCTGAGTTTAACGAGATCTATTGGCACCAAAGGTCGTGTGTGAAATGGTTAAGAGAAGGTGATCAGAACACAAAGTTCTTTTACGTTATTGCTAGCTCTCGTCATCGTCAAAATGACCTTTCTGATATTGCTTTTCAAGTATAGAGGAGGGGGATATAGCAAGATGGAAGAATGCTTTTGTTAGATATTTTCAGATGGTCTGAGCAATCCTTTGAAGTTTCCTTGGGTGGAATTCCTTTTAATGTGCTACCACAACATCTTGCTAATTTCTTGGAGGCACCTATTTCTTTGGAGGAATTGTGGTTAGCTATTTTTTCTTTGTCAGGAGGCAAATCATGGGTCAAGATGAATTTGTCTTGCTTTCTTTCATAAATTTTGGAAGTTGCTTAAATTTGACTTGCTTTGGATGGTGGAAAAGTTAATGGAAAGAGGGATTGTGGATAGAGGTCTAAATTCTACATACTTGCCCTTTTTCCTAAAAAAGATGTCATTTCGAATATTGGTGATGTGTGGCGTATGAGCTTGTTTGGTAGCCTTTATAAGATTATTGCTAAAATATTAGAGGAAAGACTAAAGGTGGTGCTTCGTTCAATTATCAAGGGGCCTCAGTTAGCATTTGTTAGGAACATGATCATAGCCGACAATACTTTTGTTGCTCAAGAGTGCATCTGCTCAAAAGTTGTAGAAAGGGAACTAAGAGTTTTGTTAAAACTTGATATAGAGAAGACATATGATAGAGTGGAGTGACAAATTTTGCATGAGATAACAAGGTATATGGGTTTGGTGACAAATGACATAGGTGGATTTGGGGTTGCCTTTCTAGTGCGCATTTTTGTGTCACTGTTAATGGTTCCCCAAATGGATTCTTTGCTGTTACTAGAGGAATTAGGCAAGGTAATCCCTTGTCGCATTTTCTTTTCATTTTGGTGAGGAAGATTTTAGTTTGATGGGTAAGATTTGCTTTAAGGTTGCTAGAGATGGTCCTTATGTCTCACATTTATAGTATGCAGACGACATTTTGATTTTTTGTGGCTCCAATACTCAACTTTTGGTTTATTTCACAAAGTTCCTTAGAAGTAAGATTTTATTGGGATTAAGGGTTAATTTTAAAAAAGACTTTAACAGTCGGGGTGAATTGTGGAAATGAGGTTTTAGAAGAGTTTGCTTCAAATTTTGGGTGCAAGTGTATTCTTTTCCTATTACTTATCTAGGGATGCCATCTCAGATTCAAGGCTTCCTCGATCGGTACGGAATTTGGTAGCGAAGAGAGTTCATGTTAAGCTTGATTTATGGAAAACTAACATTCTTTCTTTGGGTGGTCGAATCACTTTGATATGTCATATTTGGCAAACCTACCTACTAACCAAGAACTTGAGATGTTGATGAGGAATTTCATATGGAGAAATGTAGACCTTAAGATGACATATCATTTTGTGAGTTGGATTAAGGTGTGGGCTCAAGAAATGGAAGGAGGTTTGGCAATTAGGAAACTTAAACTCGTGAATTTATCACTATTGACGAAATGGTAGTAGCAGGCTATGCATTGTGAGGGCCAGTTATAGCAGCAAATTATTGAAGCTAAATACAATTTAGCTTAAATTCCATCATGCTTGGTTGAGAAGGATGGAGTAAGGGAGAGGAGGGGGGGGGGGGGGGGGGGTGGTTCTCATATTTGGAAAGGCATTTTGGCAGTGAAAGACATTGTGCATAGGAATGTGAGATAGGTTGTTGGCAAAGGTGGTAAAATAAGTTTTTGGCACCACAAGTGCTTGAGAAACTATCATCTCAAGCTTTGTTATCCTCAGTTGTTTGATAGGGTTGCTAATCAGGCAACATCAATGGTTGATAACTTGGTTAGACAAGAGCAAAACTTTTATTGGAACGTTGGTTGTATATATAATAGATTACCAGATATGGTTTTTAATCAGTTATCATCATTGTTGCATGATCTTAATTCTATTTATATCTCTAGAAATGGGAGAGGATGAGGTGGTGTGGGAATGTGAGCAAGATGGAGTTTTTCGGTCAAATCTACCTATGGACTTCTTTATCATGACCAAAATAGAGAAGAACATAGTTCAATGAATGTGGTTTGGAGGTTTCCAGTACCACCTAAAATCCAAGCTTTATTGTGGATGCTTCTTCAAGGTATATCACTTACTATTGATAACTTGAGAAAAAGAGGCAAGATCTTCATAAATATTTGCTTATCGTGTAAAAAGTACGAGGAAAATGATAATCATATTTTTTTACATTGTCATTTTACTAGTGCCATTCGAAGATGGGCCTTTGGTTTAATAGGGTTTCATGTGATGTTACCTCAAGAACAAGCTCTAATCTTTGAACATTTGGATGTCATGGGATTACCACGGTGTGGTCAAATTGTTCGGAGGCTTTTTAGGGCAGCTATTTGGTGGGAACTTTGGAAGGAGAGGAATAGAAAAACATTTGATAGTGTTCTTAATATGGAGGAGGTGAAATGTAAAATTCTAAATGATTTGTGGGCTTGGTTCTCTATATCTAAGGAAGGTACTAATTTTTCGAATGTAGAAGTATGGATGAATCTAAAAAACATTGTCAACAATGTCAATTGGTGTTTGCGACCCAAAGGTAGATGGTACCTGCTTGTGCATAATTGCATTAAGTTTAATTTTGATGGGAGTTCTTTTGGAAACCCAAGATTGATATGAGTACGAGGTTTAATTCGAAACTCTTATTCTGATGTTCTTCTTTGTGTCGTGGGTCCTCTTGGGAATACAACTTTTAATGAGGTTGAGTTTCATGCAATGCTGCAAGGTTTAAAGCTTATATAAGAGATGTTTACAAATATGACTTGCATTGTAGAAGGAGACTCTTTGAATGATTATATGACATTTTCTTTTTGACATGTCTATTTGATGCTAATTCAATTGCGGATGGACTTACTAAGCTTGGAGTGGGTTTGGAGATGCTGAATTAATCCATGTACCAACGCTTTGTAATCCTTATCTTTATATTAATGAAATTTCATAAGATTGTTAAAAAAAAAAAAAACTTGCTCCCACTGGAGCAAAATATAAGCCCTCGATTATACCACAATTTTGATCCTCTGTTATATACATAGAAAACAATACAACGACAGCAGCGGTGTATCATACGCACCACCGTTGTCTGATAGGGCTGTTTTCATCGAGAATTCGCCTTAACTTCGTTTCTCTCCTCTCCGAGCGTGTTTCTTGATGAATTTCTTAGCTTCTCTCTCAATCGGACATTGAATTTCAGTCTGTGAGGAGATGGGCGGCTTATTTCTAGGGTTTGTTGTGCAGCAACCATGGCTGCGATTGTTGCCCTGAAGTCATCACGACTTTGGCGACCCGCAATTTCAGTTTCTTTTTATTGTTCTCGTCGTGGTCGTTGCTTTTGCTCCTCTACAAACATGGCGACCAGCCGCACCTTTAAAGTGGGAGCTGTGCAGATGACTTCCATTAATGATCTCCACGCCAATTTCACCACTTGTTCCAGCTTGGTCAAGGTGTCTCCTCTCTCCCTCAACTTTTTCCTCGTTTTATCATGGTACAACATTTAACTGTTTCTCTCTGTCTCGCCATTTTCTCACTCTTAGTCTCTCTCTCTCTCTCGACTTTCATGTACTGTAATGGCATAAAGAGAGGCATGCCAAATCAACTAATAAAGAAAGTGTAGTATGTCAAATCATTTTATGAGGATTATGGACAATATCAAATTAGGTTCGGTAATTAGGAAGGCGTATATGCTAATTGATATTCCAAGAATAAAACGTGCAGGCGGTCAATTACGGGTTGTGTTTTCTGTATTTTCTTTTATGCTGGTATTTGTTGGTATTGGTTAGTCGCTAGAAGATCGAAATTGACATTGAGTTCTGTAAGGAGAGACAGACACTTGACCACCTACTTCGCATTGTTTCCCTTTCAGAGAGTGAAGAACTAGAGCAAGAGCTAATCCAAGTACCTAAGAGGATTCTAGTACACTTAAAGACATGCTGGCGTTAGTTGCTTCTGTAGACTGCGAACTTGATGCCATGTCTTCTTCCCTGGACCATGTTCAATGTGAGTTATGTCGGTTAAACAATACTATACTGGTTCCACATACCATTTGCAACTTTCTCCTTCATTAGAATCCTCCCCTAAAAAGGGGTGCTCCATCTGGTAGTCTTCCATGCTTCATGCTTCCGTGAACAACTAAGTTAAACTTCCCTCACATAGAGGGTCCAACCAGCTGGATTTATAGCGCTGAGCATATTTTGCATTTAATCAAGTCCTTAAGGAGAATAAGGTATGTCTCGCCCCATTTTGTTTATAATAGGAAGTTGTACAAAGGTACCAATGGTTCAAGAAGATCAATGGATTCCCCATTGAAATCTCTATATGTATGGTTTGGCCCGAGCCAATTGAGGATTTTATAGCTATGAAGTAGGTCTGGGTGAGGACCTTAAACTTTCCCTTAACCTATCCCTTAAACTTTCCCTTAACCTATCCCAAGCTCGAATAAAAGAGGTAGGTTGTGTTAGGTAGACAACCAATATAAAACTTTGCCAAAACTTTTGATGAATCCTGAATCTATGTTATGGTCTCATTGAGGGTAAATGGCCTTTAATATAGCAGAATGACACACTAGGATTCTTGTAGCCGATCCCAAATAGTTTGGAAAAGGCTATGATGATGATGATGATGATGATGATGAGCCATAAAGTAAGTTTTGTCAAAGTTCTTCGAGTGCCAACACCAATTTCAGAAATTGGCTAATTGGACAATTGGATTGTCAGATGCCTTTGGTACCTATCGTTTCTTTAGTGGGCTCAAGGAAGAAATTAGCCATGATATGCAAATGTTTAAGCTCTACAAGATGAGGTATTGTGGTGTATGTTATTTACGAATGACATAGTTTTGATCAATGAGACTGGAAAGGTGTCAATGCAAAGTCAAAACTAGAATCTAAAGGTTTTAAAATTATCTGGACTAAGATAAAATATTTGGAGTGCAATTTTAGTAATAGTAGGAGTAGAAAAGAGGAAGTAGTTGAGATTGATGGCCAAGAAATACCTAAAAGGGAGTATTTTTGATAACTTTTGTCAATAATCTAGGAAAATGAGAGATTGAAGAAGATATTGCACATAGAATTAGAGTTAGGTGGGCGAAGTGAAGATGTGTAACCAGAGTGTCGTGCGATCGTTGCATACCAATGAAGTTGAAGGGAAAGTTCTAAAGGACAGTTGTGAGACCAACTTTGCTTTATAAAACGGAATATTAAGCGGTCAAGAAACAACATACTTGTAAGATGAGTGTAGCAGAGATGAGAATGTTATGATGGATGAGTGGCAAGACAAGAAAATGATAGAATTTGGAATGAGTGTATGCGAGGGAACTTAGGGGTGGCTAAAGGCTACAAGATAAGGGAAGGTAGAGTTAGGTGGGCTGACACAATACAACACCGGTTAGGAGGTGCGACGTGGTTCAAGTGGAAGGCTTTAAAAGGTCAAGGAGAAGCCCCAAAAGGATATGGATGAAAGTAGTGAGAAAAGAGATGGAGACTTATGGTCTTACTGAGGGTATGGCCCTTGATAGAGCAGAATAGCGAAATATGATTCACATAGCCCAAATAGAAGGCTCTGATGTCATGACGATGCAAATGTTTAAGCTAACATCAATGCTGCAAGCGGTGTGCTTGATACACTTGCAAGAAGATAAGTTAGTAGCTCAACAACGACGAAATGAATTTGTTGTCTCACCAAAACAACTCCACCAACATAGTGGCAAAAGCACACGACCTTTGGAACCCCTTGTTAAAAAGTTCACTAGATGAGATGCGTGAATGTCGAGGGAAGGGCCTCCATTACAATTCTCATGAGCAGTACTACCTGAGCATGGTCGTGATATGCAAAAGTTATATTTTTTAGGTGGGAACATTTTTGAGGAATCACTTGAAGATGATAAGAATGAGGATGGCCAACCTTCACAAGTCATTAAGGCGAACTAAAAAATCTTGAAGCATGCTTTAGCCCAGGGTAATCTCTTCTGAAACTATGCAAGTGCAAGGGTATTTAAAGAAGCGTCTTGTCATCATTCTCAACCATTTCGGTAGTGCCATAACTTTGTAGACCATAAAGTCACAAAGCAAGGCGCCCTTTATATTTACCCTTGTGAAAATTGTGGTTACAGTGGCTAATTGAGGGAAGCTAGAAATATATCTATAACCATGGGTTTTATTAATCAAAACTTGATCACTATGTTTGCCCTTGGGAGGATGTGACATGGTTTTAGGAGCTTAGTGGCTCAGAACATAGGGACCAATGTAATGGGATTTCTTTGATTTGTGGATGCATTTCACGGTCAAGGAACATTAATATGCACTAAAGGCAGCGCAGGCTGTCCCAAGAACGATTATTAGTTTGCATCGCATGGAGAAATTGGTTCATGAGGGCTCTCATGGCATTGTGCTGCAAATATTCTCCTTGTCAGCAACGGCAGAATCTCTAGAAGATCCTGAGGCACGTATTTGGTAGAACAATATAGTGATGTGTTTGAGGAACCCAAGGAGGTACCACCTGAACGATCTCATGATCTTTGTATTCCACTTACATTAGGCAGGAAGTCAACCACCAACTGTTGGAACCTTATCGGTACCCATATGTGTAGAAGACAAAAATAGAGAAGCTTACTCAAGAACTGATGGAAGTGGGTATCGTTTATTCTTGCACCAATTCTTACTTCTCGCTTGTTCTTCTAGTATGCAATAGAATGGTTCATGGAGAATGTGCATAAATCATAGGGCTTTAACGTATCTTACAGTTAAGGACAAATTGCCTATACCTATAATTGATGAGAATATGTTAGATGAGTGCATGGGGCAATGTACTTTTCTAAACTTCATATGTCATTAGGCTATCACCAGATCCTAGTAAAAGAAAAAGATGTTCCTAAGATGGCATTCCGAACCCATGAGGGTGATATGAGATATTAGTAATGCCCTTTGGCCTCACCAATGCACCATCAACCATTTAAAGCTTGATGAATGAGGTATTCTGATTCTATCTAAGAAAATTTATTTTAGTATTCTTTGATGACATTTTGATTTACAACCATTTTCGATAGGAGCATTTGGATCAATTATCTTATGATTTAAGATCCTCGATATCCTTCACATTATCCCCTATCATAGCAATATTATTGATACTATTAGGGCTGTAATCCCAACACTTTTCTTCTTTACGAAAGAGCATATGATCAGCTTGACTTCTTCTAAACCCAAAGTTCAACAGTGCCTTAATGAATTTTTCAAACCATGCTCCAAGAGACTGTTTAAGTCCATAAATCACCTTCTTTAACTCACACCTTTCTTGTATCCTCCTTATTCTGAAAACCTGGAGGCATAGCTATAAAGATTTCTTATTGGAGGTCTCCATGCTAGAAAGCGTTCTTTACATCTAGTTGGTGGAGAGGCCAAGATTTATTAGCAAGTAGAGAATGAATGATCCTCACAATGTTCAAGTTGGCCACATGAGCAAATGTTTCTTGGTAGACTATACTAGGAGTCTGAGTCGAAACCCTTTGCAATCAATCTAGCCTTGTACCTTTCAATGGTGCCATCAGCCTTGTACTTCACAATGTGGACTCACCAATATCCTACGACCTTCTTCCCTTTAGGAAGGTTGGTGATTTCCCATGTATTCTTTTGCGCAACATCGTGCATCTCATCACCCATGGCAGCCTCCGGTTGAGGTTGTGAAAGGGCCTCTACAACATAGGAAGTTATTCGAGCAAAAGATAATCCAAGGGGTTGATGCTGGAACTGAGTGTGGTCTCCTTAGTTATCTAGATATAAGATACCGTCAAACCTGTTGTTCATAGGTTTATGACAAACAATGTCTCTATGAACATAATGAAGGCATCCCTGATGCTTTGTATAGTTGTATCATGCCATGCAATATTGTGCTTGATCACCTTGGCTTGATCACATGAATTTTCAAATGATTGTTCTCTAAAAGATTGCAAATGAGCAGGATATTTTTACCAGTTAAGCTCTATGAATTCCTTTAAACCTTCTTAACTATTGGTATATTGGCCCATGATTATAGCTTCATAGAGGGCAAAGGTTAGGCCTTAATATAGAATTAGTTTTTTCTCGGCTTCAGGTGAAAGTTTTAATGGAAAGATGTTGGCTGCATACCAGTAAGCTCGCTAAATGAAATGATCTTTCCTTATTGGCAAGATACTTAATAGGTTAGACTTTACTTGGTATATCAATTGACCCAATGGATAATGTATTATTGGCATCACGTTTTTTTTATTTTTTATTTTTATTTTTATTATTTATTTATTTATATATATATATTGTTATTGGCATTCAGTAATTCATTTTTTTATTTGTTTGAATTACTTGCATGTTTTCACATAGAATTCATATTTATCATTAAATGCGCTGTAGGGAGCTTTGCATATTTCTTTTTTATAAGTTCCAGTCATCGAATACTTGCCATGTGGGATTGGTGCAGGAGGCTGTTGCGGCTGGTGTGAACTTACTTTGTTTTCCTGAGAACTTCTCTTTTATGGGTGCCAAACTTGGGGAGTCCCTTGAGATAGCTGAGATGTTAGATGGGCCCATAATGCAACAATATCGTTCTCTTGCAAGGTATGTGAGTGATATCTTCCTTTGTTGTTTATTTCATGAACTTTATGGATCAATATATGATTGAAAAATGAGTTTGTTCTAGTGAAAAGAATTATTAAATAATTTAGTCTTGGTTTATCTTCTTCATGCATGCAAGAAGAGTTTCTGTCCCTATGTTTTCTAATGACATGTAAGGCTTAAATTGGTGTTCTTGGTGAGTCCGACTCAGATTTGCCTAACCTCCAAGCCGGGAAGCCCTTGTACTTGCCCAGGGGTTACTGTACACAGTCACTCGAGTTATTGTAGTAACTTGGGTGAGTTTCATCAGGCATAATGACTTTTTTGATAGATGCGGTGAGTATGTCGGAACTTGTTGAATCCAACGCATTTCAGTAAAAAAGTGGGTGGACTTGCATTTTGTCTTCAATCAGTAATCCACTTGCTCTGAAATTTCACTCTTTCCCATAATTTTGCATCCCCAGCTTTTGAAAAAATTGGATTTGAGACAAAAATGGAAATCATGGATTTGTGAGATTCTGATTTCAAACAAGGGTTTGGCTGAAGTTTGAAAACTCGCATTTCTTTGTAGCCTTGGGTTAATCTTGGATGAAATTTCTTCCCTAATCCTAATTTTGAATCTCTATTGAATCAAAGGCTTAGTTTCCACAAAACACGCTCAGGATTTTGGATTTGTGAGATTCTTGAATATTGAAACACCAAGAGCGGCAAGTAGATGTGAACCTGAATCGGTATCTAGTTTAGGGCCCCGTTTGGATCCTTAGAAAAAATTGTCTTGAAAAACTATTTCATGAGAAATCTCTTGCAGTGTTTTAAAATGCGGGATGCGGCCAAAAACGGTTGGGGGGGGGGGAGATGTGGCCCGGATGCGGGTGCATTGCGACGATGCAGTCAATAAATGTAAAAAAATAGGTTAATGCATAGAAAAAAATATGGAGGTGATATATGTGATAGTAGGTATTTTAGTTTAATGATTAACTTCAAAATTATTAGCTGTCGGAGATTCTGTATCCAGTTATCCACTATCCCTTGATAGAAACTAGAAACTTGAAACTAGCTTCATAAAACATTCAACAATCAACAACCATAAGCACAAATTTGCACCATAAGTACAACCATCAACAACCATAAGTACAACCATAAGCACAACTATAAACAACCATAAGCACAGAATAGTGATATTACAAAACAAAAGTCAAGCTCAAGAAGAGTTAATAGTTAATAATTCAATACAATCATCCATTTTGAGAGTTAATTTTGAAATTTGAAGTCAAATTTTGCCCCCCAATTTCTTATCACAAATTCACCCTAACATCCCCAAATTAACAATCAAAAGCATCAAATCAACATCGAAATATCAAACAACTGCCAAATCGAAGATTTGAATGAAAAATAAATTTTTGCCAAATTTTTTTCCTTGATTTGATGCAAAAAAAGCCACAAAAGTGGCTGGAAATCATCATTCAGGGGGTTTAATAACCCCCTCCAAAACAGTTTCCCCCATTTTTGGATGGTCAAAAAGACCATTTTGCCCCTCCCTAAGGGGCAAAATCAAAAACTTTTTTGGCAGAAGGGGATGCGGTGTAATGCAAGATGCGGCTACGATGCGGTCTGAAGCGGCCGCATAGGTCAAAAGCACATATGCGGTCAGTCTGATGCGGAGCCCACCACATACCGCATGATGCGGCCGCATTCTAAAACACTGATCTCTTGTGAAGAACATTTCCTGTAAAATAAAATTTTGCTATTTGGATGGTATATGGATGCAACCTGAAAGATACATTTCTACCATGAAAAGAGGCTAAAATGTAATGAATCTCTAGAAAGGAAAGTATAGTAGAGATAGAGAGAGAAGGAAATGGGTAGAGCAAGATAGAAGTAGATATTTCTATGAATGGGGAGAGATTGAGAGAAACGAGAAACAAAGATATAAGGTTTTTTTTTTTTGAGAGAGAGAGTTGGGTTAGCGATGAGAGAGTGAAAGGGTGCAGGAGAGAGATGGGAACATATTGCCCCTTTTGTTCCAGCCCCAACTTGCTATACCCCTGTTTTTAATTATTTTATTCAGCTTTTCAAGGAAATCAGACGGGAAATTATTTTTTTAGCTTGTAGTAGGGAGGAGAAACAATTTCTCTGTTTTGGGCTCAAAATAGAGAAGAATTTCTAACATAAAACATCATCGACACAGATTTTAGATCCAAACAGCGGTAATGAGCAATCTTCCTTGAAAACTATTTCGCGAAATATTTTTCCAGAGATCCAAATGGCCCCTAGGGGTTTCGATTTGTGGATTTGAGGACCTTTCATAGAGATTAGGGGGCTTCGATTGGTACCAAGTGCAAAGATTGGAGGTCATCTTCAACATTTGGGGTGAGCAAAATTGGGTTCCATGTTTTCAATTTAAATTCTTATAAACAATTTTTTTGGAGGAATACAAATCAAGTTATTTTTTAGTTTGTATTTTGGTTGCATTCTCTCAAAAAAATCAGTAAGGTTTACTTTTTGTTTTTTTTGTTTTCATGATATTACATGCATACAAAGATAGTTTTATTTTTTTACATTGTTTTTTTTCCCTGTTAATCTGATGATGATTGTCTGCTGTTGTATTTATGTCACGTATATGGTTGTTTGTAAATAATATATTATTATAAAAAAAATTCCCTCTTCTGTTTTTTTTGTTTTGATAATATATTGTGCTAGTAGAGTGGACAAAGCTTTGAATTTTGGCAATAATTTCTTCTCTGCATACAGTTTAATATGTTTTAGTTTTCATGATTGAGCAGGGACCACCATATTTGGTTGTCACTAGGTGGTTTCCAAGAGAAAGGACCAGATGATAAGCACTTGTGTAACACTCATGTTTTACTAGATGAAGCGGGAAATATCATAAGCACATACCGAAAGATACATCTGTAAGTTAAAATCTTGGCTCATAGTCATATTTTGTGTCGATTGTGAACAAAACTATATGGAAAAAAACCAAAAAAAGAAAATAAAAAAGAAGGGAAACTATATGTAGCATATACATCCTTGCAACAAAAGCATGCATTGTTTAATCTGCACTTGTTTAGCTCCACCTATTTAACCCATCCAACTCACTTATGGAGAGTTGTAGACACACAAACCTACAAAAGCATGTGTACATAAATGCATAAAGGAAGACAAACTATACTATTTGTATAATTTGATTTTTTGTTCTTTCGAAGATCAGTTATAAGATTCTCTTTGAAAAAAACTCATAAGATTAGTTTGTCATGTGGCACTGTTATAAGAGTTGAAATAGTTGAGGATACAGTTATAAGACTCTGGAACTTTGTTTGTGAGAGTTTAGAGAACTGAGAAGGAGAGGGTTTTATTTGAAAATTCAAGTTTTTGAAGTCTGAACTTGTTGAACCTGATTGTTGGATTTTAGCCATGTGAGCCTATAGGAAAATTTGGCTTTTCGAGGAACTTAAAGTGTTGGTCAGGTTGGTTGGTAATTATTTGTGCATTAGAGATTTTTTATATGCATGAAAAATATGAGGCAAAGTGAGGTGACCATTCTATTTAGGAATGCATGAAAGTCATCATCATCATTTTAACCTTTTCTCACTTAATTGGGGTCGGCTACATGAATCCTGATTCTCATTTATGCTCTATCAAAGGCCATATCCTCAGTGAGGCCATAAGTCCCCATATATTTTCGGACTACTTCCAACCATGTCCTTTTGGGCCTACCCCATATCCTTTTCAGTCTTTCCACTTGAACTAATTCGCACCTCTTAATAGGTGCTATACTTGGTCGGCGCCACACATGGCCATCCCACCTAAGTCTGTTCTCTCTCATGTTATCGCCTATTGGTGCCATGCCTAATTCTCTCGAATAGATTCATTTTTGAATTTTGTCCCTTCTTTTCTTGCAACTCATCCATCTCAACATTCTCATCTCCACCACACTCATTCTATGGGTATATTGTTTTTTGTCCGTCAAACATTCCGCCTCTTAGAGCAAAGCTGGTCTCACCACTGTCTCCTATAGAACTTGCCTTTCAGCCTCATTGGTATGCGGTGATCACAAAAAATTCTAGTTGCACATCTCTATTTCGCCCACCCTGCTCTAATTCTGTGTGTGTCGTCTTCCTCGATCTCTCCATTTTTCTGGAGTATCAATCCAAGATATCGAAAGTGCGGTCTTTTTTGTACTTCTTGGCTGTCAATCTTGACTACTTCCTCATCTCTACGCTTATTATTACTAAACTTGTACTCCATATACTCTGTCTTAGTCCGACTAATTTTAAAACCTTTGAATTCTAGAGCATCCATCCTAAGTTCTAACTTTGTGTTGACGTTGTTTTGGGTCTTATCAATCAAAACTATGTCATCTGCGAACAACATGCACCATGGTACCTTATCCTGTAGGTGCCTAGTTAATTCATCCATAACTAAAACAAAGAGGTACGGGCTCAATGTTGACCTGACCTTTGTTGTAGACCTATTGTTACTGAAAACTCTCACTAGTTCATCATACACTAGTTAGCGCTCCATTGTCCATATCTCTCACCAAGTCAATGTAGTGTTTAGAGATGCCTTTCTTTTCCAACACTCGTCAAATCAAATCTCGATGTACTTTATCATAAGCTTTCTCTAGATCAATAAAGACCATGTAGAGGTCTTTTCCCTTCACCCTAAATTTCTCAATCAGTTGCCTAAATTGGAAAATAGCCTCCGTCGTTGACCTTCATGGCATAAAACCAAATTGATTTTCAGATACACTCGTTTCATGCCTTAGTCGTTGCTCAATGACTTTCTCCAAGAGCTTCATAATATGGCTCGTAAGCTTGATCCCTCGATAGTTTGCACATTTCTGTACATCTCCTTTGTTCTTGTAAATAGATACTACAATACTTTTCTTCCATTCATCTGGCATTTTCTTTGTTCTCAACACCTTGTTGAACAACTTCGTCAGCCAGTCAATGCCAATTTCCCCCATGCACTTCCAAACGTTTATCGGGATACCATTTAGTCCTAAAGCTTTTCCTATCTTCATCCTTGTAAAAGCTTCTTTCACTTCCGACATCCTAATCCTATGAATGTATCTATGACTTCTGCAGTGATTTGTACCAACAATCCCTTCTACCACTATATTCTCATTGCGTTCGTCATTTAATACTTTTTTAAAATAGATACTCAACCATTCGTTGACCTATTTGGGAATAGACGAGAGTATAGCTTAAAAATGGTCAACTGGGGATAAATGTCTCGTTGTATGTTGAATGCGTGGTGTTTTTGTTTCTCAGTGCGGGACTATTTTGTGCATAATTCTCTCTCTCTTTCAAGAATGGTTGACTTTGTATTAAATAAAAGAAGAAAATCTACACAATTACAGAAAATGGCAGCCCACAACCACAAAATAAGAAAGTTTACACAACTACAAAAAAATGGCAACCCACAACCTGGGTGCTCAGTCAGAGTCATAAACAACAAAAGGTGGGGACTTTACATTCCCACAATAACAAAAATGGTGGGGTAGGGTGCTCATCGGTGTAATAGATACCTATAGACTCCCAGAATGAGAAAAAAGGTGGGAACAAACTCCTTCAAAGGGAGTGAATGAGTTTTCTTTCCTTTTTTGTTTTACAAGTAACTTATTATTTTTTGACATTAGAATCCATATGTTTTTCTTTTATGACATATGCGTTTGTCATACAAGCATTTGTTAACAATGTGTATTAGGTTGTGCTTCGTGTCGTAGTTTTGTGATGGAGTTCTAGTGGGATGCTATATTTGTCTATGTCAAGGACTTTAGTGTCTTTTCCCCTACTCTTGAGGTCTATTCGGATGTGCATGTATGCATGTATTCGTGTGTGTATGCACTTGTATGGATATATCCATACAATTAAGGTTTAAATAGTATACAATACAGTTCTCTTGTTTCTTTGTTCTCATTCAGATTAACATGGTGTTGGAGCCATCAAAATATGGTTTGTTTTAACTTTGGATTGGTCGGCAGTGGAATTTGATCCTTGGACATTGCGTTGTGGTTCCCAAATGGCCTAATCATCGAGCCAACCCTTTACATCGCATCAAAACTTTGTTTTTTGAAACCATAATCTACCAATTCATCTGATAGGCAAAGCAAGCAATTTCATGGTTCTTTATATTTGATTACTAAAAACAAGTACGCTTTTCAAGTCATATTTCTTCACTTCACTCTTTTTTTCATTTTGTGAGGTCTTTCTGCAAGTATCATTGTGAGTTGAACTTGCATTATGGTCTAGGAAGTGGTAGCTTTTTTCCCATGTCAGTAAAATTTGTTTGTTTTAGAATGCTTGCATGCCTATTTGACATTACCAACACTGGCAATATCTGACAATATCTACTGTGTATTTCTGTCGTTTTCTTTGTCTCTGTCATATACTACCCAAAGAGGTGGGCTTGTTATACTAGTAACAAAATGTGTGTTGCACGTTTAATCCACGTGTTATTGTCATAAGTAAGATACTGTTAAGAAACTATTGTTAAAGTGTGATTCATATTTCTTTAGTTTGTTTCATTTCTTGTGCACTTTGACATAGACATTTAAATATACCTGCCAATATTATACAAATTTGAAGTTCTTAATGCAAACTAATAAGTTAGTGAAGGTAAAGATAATTTTGGACTCTAATTCCCTCTCTTTTCTCTTAAAAGATCCTCTCTCTCTTTTTATGTTTTCTTTTTTACCCCTCTCTTCAATGGTGAAATCCCAATGAAACGAACAATAGATTTTCTTTCATTTCTCTTTTTGTGCTTTGTTTTTTTATTTTCTCTCTCTCTTTCTCTCTCTCTCTCTCTCTCTGCATTTTTTTAAGGTTACCTAAAAGAGCTACCTTTTTTTTTTATACAAAGAGAAGTTTCATAACTATTCTAGAGAAATCAATTACTAAAAGCCTTATTTATTTGGTAACATGTTGACAGAGCATCGTAGTCATTTTTTTGATAACTTAGGGAGTTACATGCGAAATCGAGAGTACATTTAAGGTAGAATTTAAACTTTGCTTGTGTTTTTATGTGTGTAAGATAACAAAATCAAACATGTTGTGTATGTGTATGAAAACAATAACAATCTAATATGGAATATAAACCATCCAGGTTTTGATCATTGAGCATGGAATTGATTTACATAAATAGACATATAAATGGCCATGAAGTTGATATTACGCACAGCCAAGAAAAAACAATAATTTACAGCGTTTCTTATGTGGATATAGTACAGTAGGTTAAGCCTAAAATATGGTCGTAAGGTGTTAGCCAAGCGAACTACAACCCTAAGAAACCATAGGAATAGAATCCATCGAAAAAACAATAACCATATTTGCTTCTCTCTCTCTCTCTCTCTTAAACCCTATCTCTCTTTAAAAAGGGAAATTTAAGCTCTCTCTTGCTCTAAACCCCGGCTCTCTCTGTCTTTCCCCCTTAAGCCCATACTCTCTCTCTCTCTGTCGCCCGAGTCCATCCTAGGAGGTGAAATTATATTCTTCATTTCTTTGATGAAAGCTATACTCGAGGAAATTCATTACTGACACAATCTCTCTCTCTCTCTCTCTCTCTTTCTCTATCGATCTATCTATCTATGTATATATATATATACATAGACACAAGCATCGACTTATATACTTGAAATTTAAAAGATTAAAATATTAATTAATATAAAAGCAAGTGAAATGTAAGTTTACACATAAATAGAGCTTTATAAATTTAGTTAACATGAATGCAAGTTAGATCCAAGTTCACACAAGTAAAACTTTATATTGATGGGAGAATGAAAAAGCAATAAAATATACATAATTAATAAAATCATAAATAAAATTTGTTAAAAGACCCGTTGTACTATATGATAATTAAGAGACTTATTGGAGTTCTTGTGAGATATAGTAAATTAGGCCTTTATGAT